CTATAAATTTGGATTTGTAACGTAGTATTTTGTCTTTTTTCACTTTTAGTTACTCACCCATTACACATCATATAATAAACGTACTCTTATGGAATGCAAACGAAAATGTTTATTTATTATATTTTGTTATAATGAATGCTCGGATTTTAAAGCGTTAAAATCTTAAAATAAGCGCTATAATATGCTATATAAACTTAAAAAATATCGAAGAAATGTATTTTTATTGAAATACATATAACAGAATATTCTAGACAAAATTACGTAAATATAACTATTAAGAAGTTTTAAATGTATACTGTTCGATGGGCCAGCCTGCTTAAAAATAGATTATAATATGAAATGAAAATGTGCGTTCTTTTTTATGGATTCACATAAATGAGACATTTTTCTATAATTTGTATTCATTATAAATGAGATTTATCAAGACTGTAAAATAAATTATTATATTACGTATATTAACAAAATATAGCAACAGAACATAAAAAATAGTATTACAAATATAAAATACTACAAATATGCAAAAAATAGCAATATAAAATTCCATATTTTTGAGTCTCTAGTGCATAAAACAAATTTATAAGTCACTCTGTTATTATTATCTATATTCTATATAAATTTGTAAATGCTATAAAAACAGAGCTCTATATAGTTGTAAAGAAATATATTATTACGAGATAATAGTTCTTATTTCGTTATAGTACAAAAATTAACAATATTATGATTTATGTAACGTCTTGATGCATTTGAAATTTAAACATTTTTTAGATTTTGAGCGGATCGAGGAATGTATTGGTTTCACAACGAAGTTTATTATGTAATTTTTTTATCTGTGAACAACTTTTTTACCCTTTTAACCTTTCTAATCTTGTTTCGATTATTAAGTGTAGCACTTTTTCTGATAGAATATTCTTTTGGTGGAATTATAAGGAGGTAAAATAAGCTATCCTAAAAAATATTAGGATTTCTTCTGAGTTTTCATAATAAATGGAAAAAACCGGGAAAAAACGTAGGAAAAACGAGAAAATTAACAAAATGTATTATTATCAAATCGTAAATATTACGGCCTTTCAAAACATGTATAACTGAACTCCGCTCAGAATCGTTTTTCGTTTTCATGATTAATCGTTGCGTATGGTATATATATGTGTATTAAATTTCTCCTCTACTTTCTAATCTACAATAGTAGCCGCTTATTCATTGTGACATTGTGCGAAATATGTCCGTTTGTTTTTTATACTTATATTATAATGTATGTCCGAAAACGATAGAGTAAATTTCATTACTAATTTAATTGCGAATTTCAAAAAGTGCTATTCTCTGACAATCAAAATTATTCAAAAAACACAAACCAGAGAAAAACCTTATATGACAACGTATATTTTTCGTGTCCGATAACGTTTTTGATTTTTTTCGTGTAGCGTGTTTTTATCGCGGGTTAGACGTTTTAGTATCTTATTTGAATGCATTAAACGAAGCCTACTGACTTATTTTATCATACTGCAATTGTTGGATGATTTTTAAACAATTTCATTATTTTAATTTAATTTTGATTAAGTTTAATTGTTCAAATTTTTAAGTTTTAAGTTTTAATGCCATATTATAAAAACAGTAAAATATCATTAGGTAGTAAAAAATATAATAACAACATAAATAAGAATAACACAGTACGAGAGAGATTAATGATTATTAGGTAATATGGTATTCGATAATAATAAAATGTCTTTTAGGTTTCATACACGCACATGAAATAATTATTAAAAGAGTTAAAACTTATAGAATTTTTTTTTCGGTTTTTGTGTACAAAATGATAAATATTTTTCAGTGTAGCGTTTTTGTATCTGAAGATGTTTTTGATTTTTTTCGTTTTATACGTTTTTGCAAAAACATCTTTACTCTCAGTAAAAAAAAACTTATTTTTTGTTGAATCATTTAATCTATTTTAGCAATTTTTTTCAAAGAATTTTCCTATTATAAGTTCAGTTAGGGCCAAGTATAATAATATCTTTGAAGGGAAATTTGATTGAGAAAACGATTGTTAACGTTTTCCGAGATGTGTTCTTTTTGAAATTCATCTAAGAAAGGTGATGGTTTTATTATTGAGACAGCATTAAAAATAGGTACCCGTGTTGTTAAAAAGATTACAAATACAAACAATTTTCTCTTACGTTTTTTAAACGTAAAAATTATCATATCTATACTAATTTTATTTTGACTAGATTAGCCGTCACAAAATATGTGTGCGCGTGCGTCAGAATGCAAGATCGAGGGTGCATCAAACACCTTCGAAAAGGTTTATATTATCTCACTGAAATCAGTTATTTTAAAAATTTAATTTAGGAAGTCGGGTATTTTTTATCACTTTTGAAACCAGACATGGGCTCTTAAAATATTGGTAAATATTTATAAACTGGGGGAGGAGAAAAAACAATCATGAAAATATCTTGAAATGGTCTTTTTCGTAATTTGAAATACAATTGAATAATTATAACTGTATTGCATTCAATAAATAGATTTTGTTAGTTTAACTGAAATAATATTTTGCTTTACATCTTTACATTACAGTGAGGGTTTTTATGATACTTTTATAAGTTACCTACACATATTCTTATAATGTTTTTTTTGACCGCACGTATTTTCTTGTTCCCTTCTAAAATATATAATAACATCCAGTGAAATATAACGATAATTAATAATGTAAACAGGCTTTACCCCACAATAGGATGGCCATCGTTACATAAGACTTCAAAGCTACAGCAGATATAACGGCTAGATGTTTCTAGGCTTGGCCGTTATGATTGATGATGAATGAGTGACTGTGTATATCTAGTATTGTCATTTTATAAACGTTTTATGTATAAATAATAATACATAAAATAAAAACCTAAACTTCGGGAACATTTAACGTTGTTGGCTGCATGTTTTATTCTGTCAAGGTATTCAATGCTCAGTATAATACTTATCGCCATTTGACAGGTCATCTGTTTAAATTCATATGCAGATTGTAAACATTTTTTGCCAATCAAATAACGAATGGGCAATATTCGATTTTAACTATACTTGCCAATTGTTATCTAGTTGGATAGTTGTAGAATTGATTATAAACGTTATCCTACAAATTACAAAAGTTTTACGGATTAGAAAAGTGACAGTGACTGCGTATATATAATAGATACAAATTATAATATATATATTTTTTTCATTTTTAAAATTCCAATTTGTTTTTAAACATCATTTTAACCTTTAACGTAATCTGTTTTGGTAAAAAAGTATTATCATGCGATGGTACAGTAATAATTTAAAAATAAATGAATAAAATTAACCTTTGATAATCCTATAATATATGGTACAAAGAAAAAAAAATGGCTTATAAATTATTATTTGTCTAAATATAGTTAAAAAAACTTAAAGGGAATCTATATATTTTAAACTTAGTACTTTTAGAAAGCGGTTATCGGACTTATTAAAAAAAGATTCATGTTTGAATACACCTATATTCACCGTTGAAACATTATTAGGTATTAACTTCAAAGAAAAATATTCAGATTTTTAAAACTTATTTGTTGTCTTGAAAATGTTCGTTATAACTTTTTATAAAAAAACCACATATTTTTTCTTTCAAACATAATTTATTTTAATTAAATATAGTTATACAGTAATATAAGAAAACCAAAATTGAAAGTGATATTTATGTTTAGAATATTTTTTCCTACAATGGAGGTAATTATTTTAATAGTAATAGCATTAATAAAATTACTCTAATTTTATGTTCCGGGTGAATGATAATATTATTTATGAGCTGTGTGCAATTATTTTATGAACTAGTTTTTTTTTCAAGATTTTTTTAAAAGAGCCAAACAAAAAAACCATTTTATCGTTTAATTTTTCTTTTGATGTATTAATATGTGAATTTAAATAATTTTTTTAAATAATAGATTCAAGTCTAAAATAGTTATTTTGACAAATTTTATTAGTATCATCAAACTTATATACTCGTAGTTTTTCGGTGATTTTTAATATGTACCTAGTAAATTATGTATATATATAATTAAATGGAATTCAGAATGGAGTAGAACTGGCTACAGAAAGAGATCGATGGAGACAAGTGGTTGTTGCGACAATGGACCTTAATGGTTTTTAAAACGTCGAAGAAGATACAATTAAATTAAATTAAATTTTGTACGTCAAAATAATATTTGTACAAATAAAATCTGCACTTTGTATAAAAGCACGGGTGTAATTTTATTTATCATGTGTAATAATTATCATTATGTATGACGTGATAATTGTTGATGTTCAAAATTAGGGTTCGTGTTGTTTTACTGTTTATTATTGCTGGTATTTCAATAATAATGCCATAAATATATGTATATATATTTACTCTCAAGATCATTTGCAGGAATATAAACTTTGTATCGATTATTTAAAATTCTTGCTTTGTTGGGATGCGATTATTATCATGAAATATATACTATATAAATATCGATGATCGGTAGTCAAGGCTGACTGTGATATATTAGTGTATGAATGACGAAGATTGGTCTGATGAACAATAAATATATTTGAACTTTATCAGTCTTGACTGTCTACCAAAAATATTGTCATTCAAAATTCAATGTTTGCTGGCTTAACAGTCTTACTTATAACCTATTTATAGTTAGGTATGATCCTTTGATATTATTTTATATCCTTAGTATTTTGATTCATACACCCAGTTTAAACATTACTTAATTTCTTCTGTTGTAGTTCTCCATTTATTATTGGCTAATATTAGTATTGTCGACAGTAGTAGAGAACTACGTCATACGTTAGGTATAGGGAAGACGCGCATACTAAACGAAAACGTTGCATACGGTGATCATATCTATATATTAGGTCATGGTATAAACCGCATTATAAAAACTTGCCTAATAAATTTTCTATAATAAAATATCTAATTTTTTAAATTTATTTATTTACAGATATATCGCTTTAAAACAGTAAAGGACTGCGAGTCCATCGCCATGTTGCGCTCCGAAGCATGTATGTCATCTTCCCGGCGGACGAAGTCGTACAGCTGTCATTCGGTCGACCAGCAATACGTCAGCGTCAACAGCAGCGGTCCGGTCAATGTTGCTATTGCGACCAACACCGTACTGTCCAAGGTAAAAAAAAAAATGTAATATTTTAAAATATCCCCAATTTTTTCCACGTTGAAAATCGTTCAGGTTATACAGTTGACCGTATTATGATATGACTTATCAAAAGTAAAATTATTATTTATTATATTTGTTATTATTCATCTTAAAATTAAATGACTATACACTATATAAATACTGGTATGTGATGGAGCATGCGTGATGTATGAATATTTTAATTTAAACGTAATAAATTATTATCGCTTTAAAAAGAAAAAAAAATTGCTTCCGAGTAGTATTTTGAAATTTTAACGCTCGTACATACTATATAAATTGTTTTATTATTATCTTATTTTTAGTTTTTGTGAATTTCTTATAAACTATCGAAAAAAACAAAAACATATTTAAATGTTCGGATTGACTACATCTCTATACAAATTGTGTTTGAAATTATTGAAAGAGCCCTGAAAAGTTCCTCCAAAAAAATACAACTTTAAAAAAAATTAAGCCGTTGACCAACGGCTCTACGAGAGAATTTCGTTTAGAAGGGTTTGTCACTTATCCGTAGCCACATTACTCAGCTGTTTCCAAAGATCCAATTCTTTTTCAATATTCAATATTTATTTTTTTGAAAAGCCAAGGCGTTGCAATTCCACCCCCTTCGCAGTGTCTATGTGCAACGCCGCTATAGTATCTAGAGTTTAAAGTTTAAACCGGATGAGTAGGAAAGAGTTATCAATTTATCATCTAAAAATAAGTAAGTTGCAATTTAATACCTTTCCCTATTCCTTCTGTCTAAATTTTAAACTTATATAACTCATAAATGGTAAATCTGATATTAGCATTATGTATACCTAGCAAAATGTTTAGATAAATAATCTCTATTTGAATTTGAAAGGGGAGGAGGGTTGCTGTTTAAAAATCCAAAGTGGATACTTCTTTCATGTATAAGGAATAGTGATAAGAATTGAAAATTGTTGGACCATGATAAAAAAGTCTCTCTGTATAATTGAAGCATAGTTAATATAAATAATAAATTAGATAGTTTATAAGTAGATAGTTATAGGATAAGTCATTACAATGTATTCTTGTGTACATAGGACTGTAACCATTTTATTCTATTTATTTATTAGTAAACCATATAAAAGACTCTATAATAATATAGGTACCCTTTACATAAAAACGGCATGTCTATTTTCTCACGCTTCAACGGAAAACCGGACGCTTTTATAAACACAAGATATAAGTTGTATTGTTCTTGTATATTTTAAATTTGTATATTTTTTTTTTTTGTAACTCATTTATTTATGTATACGTGACGTTCAGCTGAAATATTTGAGTGCTTGATAATAATGATCCCCTGGGGTCCGATGCTTGAATATTTTTTCCACATTCAGATCCCTTTTCACACCACTCCAATTAGCGTGGCAAAGCAAGTGTCTCTCGCTGTAGCATAAAACTCGGAGACAAAAAAAATAATATTCCCTTTAGTTGACTATATTATTATTATTATACGATAGAAAATACTAGCAACCGCGGTAAAAAGTGGTTTCAGTTGTTATTGAACATGAAATATTAATTTTTACGTGTGTGCTTTAGACCAGTGTTTCCCAACTGGTGTTTCGCGGAACCTTTGGGTTCCGCGAACCAGTGCCAAGGGTACCGTGAGGAATTTGGGAAAAAATAAATAAATTAACAATATTTTTGATTTGATTATTTTTTATAGTTAAACTTGAAGAGTTCTAGAATGCCATGGAAAGTGATTACAAACATTTTGCTGGAAGTCTCGGGGTGCCCACTATTTTTAGAATCCAAAAAATATGTCTGCGTTATGTGGTTATGAAAATAAACGGGGGTTCCACCAAATATTCAAGTTCTTGAAAAGGTTCTGTGAGTAAAATAAGTTGGGGAACACTGCTTTAGACTATCTGATATAGTCAGCGGGTACTATACTATAATATTATATTATTTTGTATAATTGAGAATAATATATGTTCATAGTATAAGTACCTACCATAATTTCATATTTGGTGTTATCATTATAGTAGTACCTAGGTACATAATCATTATTAATCTACTAACCAATCATGTAGGTATACTTCTACTAACATGAAAAATAACAAATTTGAATACTTAGCTTAGCAATCGTATTTAATATACATGAAATCATACAGTAGTAGTAGGTACTTATAGTTGTATATCTAGTCAATGGAGTGTTTAAAATTATTGATGAATTGTAATAAAGCGAATTTAGATTTAATGAATAGTAGAGAAATAGCGTCTGTAATCAATTGATCATTTATTTGTGAAACGTAATATAAAAAGAAAATAGGTCAAAGGTGGGCGTTTAGTCTACAACCACCGTTTCAGTTCCACGTTTTAATACATAATATAATATATTATAACGTTTATTGTTTGAAAATATTTATGTGTCAAATTTTGTGTATTGCCTTAAATGCTCTTATGTAATATCTATATAATTAAAATATTATTAGTTTGTTTACATACCATTACATTTCAAATATAATGAAATTAAAAATTGATGTTTTCATATGATATAGGTATTTGATTATTTTGGAAAATATAATTTGTTTGTTTTACATTTTATAGCTAATGAGGTTGGAGATTTTTTTTTGGAAATATTTAAATATCGATTCTTAGATATATTCAAATATTGCGTACCCTTTGCCAATATTTTTTCATTATTAAGTACTCACCACGTGCAAATATTTCAATTTGCTATGTAATTTTTTTATATTGTACGTATAAATACTACAGATATAGTGAGTATTATTATTTTCTCTGTACATATACTTTACTGCAGAATCGTTTTTACAGACGTTTTTCATTACATGATATATTCGTTTTTAATTACAAATAGTTATAATAACAATAATTAGGTCTATAGTATGAGTATAATTTATGGTAGTTGGTATATGTACGTATTAATGGATTTACACGGATTTTAAAATGATTACAAATAATCGGCTGGTTACATTTTATATTTCTTCATAAAAATCCTACTAAAATGACTCGCAGTTAGCTCTCTTTATTTGAGTGAGTTATAATTTATTATTAATGACTTTTCATAATACTCTGTGTCTAAACATTAAATAAAAATACTGGTAGGGTGAACTTATGTGGATTTTAAATCCCACACAAGATAAATTTAATATCGTCGAAATGTCGAAAGACTAGGCAGGTACATTATTTACAGTAGATTTATTTTTGTCATTAAATAATAATTGTATTTTAGATTATGAGTGGAGTGAAGCTTACCAGAGGATTTACTCTGATTTTTACGTGTAGCACTTTTTCTGAAAGGAAATTGGTGTGGGGAGGTACTTTAGAGTAAATATATAAAGTCAATTTAATTATTTTACTATAATATGACAAGTATATTGTTGAAAAACCCCATGGTTCATTTCATGGGGTGCAGAACACCCCATGAAATGATAATTTTTAATTAATATATGTTTTGGGTTTCGTTGTTATATTGTTGGTGTCATTGCCGTCTATCGATTACGATTGCGACGATAACGTTTTATATTTTAGTACGTATTAATAAATCTTGAAAAATCCTAAATAAATAGGTACATCTATTATAACTGAATACTATGGCTCTAAATTCAATTGTGCTAAATTACAATTACATCGTCGCATTATTATGTTACATGTTGCTGAAGCAAAAAAGTTTAACGCATCATTAGTGTCAGATGCAATTGATATTTTGAAACAAGAGTTGTATATTTACAAGACTTGGTACCAGAAGTGATTAAATGAATTCAAATTATGTTAACCGTACTAGTTTCATTGTGTACAGCTGAGTGTTCTTTTTCTGCTCTTCGGCGTTTAAAAACATTCTTAAGGTGAACAATGACACAAATGCGACTTAACGGTATAACGATATTACATGTACACGAAGAAGAAAAAATAAACATTGACGAGATTGTTAACAAATTTATTAATACGACTAAAATGAGACAAAATACGTTTGAGATTTATTGAAAAATGAAGAAATATATACCTATTAATTGGTAAAATTTTTTATTTTAAACTCTTTAAGTTCTATATGGACAAAAACAATGCTATTTCTTATTTATTTAAAAATATAATTTGTTATTAGTACTACTTATAGTTAAAAATAAAAAAAAACATTTTGTTTTTATTATTTTTAAGATTTTGGCAGAGAAGTATTTATAGTTTTACCACCCCTAGGCATAATCAGAAAATCTTGCACTTCTGGGCATATAATTTGATGATGGGTAAAAAACAAAAATCATCGCCTATTTGTAGGCATCCAAAAAACGATGGTGCTTCGTCGCCCCTCTCCTAAATACAAAAATAAAGTCAATAAAGGAGTTATGCTTTGTTGATTTTTTTTTTCATTTTGATTACAAGTTAAATCATTGTAGAATTTTAAGTACCTCGTGAAAATTGGAAAACCTGGTGTCCATGGAGCAGGTAGTTTACAAAAAAATATAATTATATACATATTTTCAATGTTTATTAATTTATATGGTCATAAATTATTAAAAACTAGATAATAGAACTTAGAAAATAAAAACAGTTAATATTAATATGATAATTAATTATTAAAATCATTTGTGTTATGAAAACGTACCTATATCGATGGATATAAAAATAAAACAGATGTTCGTTCTTTATTTCTTCTTAAATAAAATCGACATCAGTTGGAACACTTTATAAATAAATAAAATAAATTTGCTCGCGATCGCAATATACAATCAGTGGTGGATTCGAGAAAAACTATTATGTAGGTATTGTAGGTACCTACAGCAATTTTAGAAGCTGCAGGAAACAGACTGCCACATAAAAATATCCGTTAGTCCTTCGGGAGTACGTTTGCACATAATATACTGTAGACACGCACGCGGAGTTAATAGAAGTTTGGATCACAATTATAACAACGCGAAGAATCGAGTTTCGAAGAAAATACTTGAATATCTGCGGTATTGTACAAACTATAAATTTACCTTACCGCAATAAAGTTTGGCCTACACTATGATGATAGTTGCTGCTACGATAGTTATTGACTATTATAAGAGACAATGTGATGATATACTTGAGAACATGATCGTAGAGTAAAATTCAATAAAATGTGTGAATTTAGATTGAACGTCTGTGGAAGTTCCGTCACGACGGTAAAATAGAACGATAGTTGTATTCATTATTGATGTAATAGTTACTATTAGTCTCAAGATACTAGTTGTATACTATTATGCATGAATTATAGTGTGATATCACTTTCAAAATAGTCTAATAATTTCTACATCACTTTATTTATACGATGATTTAATGAATGTCACGATAGAAACTACCATTGTGGTGTGGATCAAGTATATAATTGTTATACAGTTAAATTGTGATGTGAATTCAACATTAGCTTTTTTAATGCGTACTTATGATATCAAACATTTTAATTAGGGACCGTCGTTGTTGATCGCCCTCGGCAAAAATAAACTAAATTGCTGTGTGTAGTAAATTTAAACCGAAATAAAATTATGGGGGGAAAACAATTATTTAATATTTGTTTTTGTTTTTGTTTTTTTATAAACTATCTAATGATGGTATAATACCGTAAAAAACTGTAGTCGTAATTGAAATTGAAACGGCTTTGATTATAATAATAGTTGAATAATGAAGAATTGATGAGTTTCTAAGTATCTATAACAGTAAATCGAGTGGAGAAATTACGAACAATGTAAATTTTTGTAAAACAAAGTTATATCGCGTATTATTTACTAACGATAGATATACATTTAATTGTATTTATTATAGGTACTCGATCTGTTATGATTACAATAATAAAATATGCAAATTAAAACTGTGTACACATATGAATGTAAATTAAAATGAATAATTTAATACGCTATCTACTGATGATTTTGATTACGGTATTATTAGTGTAAGCTCTTTAACTAGGTATCACCAATTTGTTCGTTTATGATGCATATTATTAATATTTAATTAAATATTGTTGTAATAGGTATGACTTACAAATCGAATAGTATGCATAAATCATTGTAGACTTCCCTATGCTCATAGGGGAGAACCATCGGTTTCATAATATATATATATATATATTATAAAACATATCATTTTATGTATTTTTAATATTTTTTCCGGTGGCACGTTTGGGTTTACAAATTTTAAGTACTCTTGAAGTTTAGTAATATAACTTTATGGATAGAACACCGGTGGCTCTTTATAGGGGTAGGTCACTTTATCTTCCTATTATCAGACTTCTTACCTGACCTCTATCTTTATTGTTCACTAAATCATTAAATACCGGAATTATCCCAACTATTTTCAAACTCGGTTCTGTCACTCCTATTCATAAGAGATGATGTCACCAGTTATCGACATATTACAATTCTTCCTCACTTGTCTAACATCAATTTTTGAAATCTTAATTCTAAATTCTATCCGTCCTTCTCTAAATCATATTCTCACCGATAAACAACATAATTTCTGCCCCGGTCGCTCTACTACCACCTGTAATCTTTTTCTAACCTCTTTCATATTTGACTATTTCTCTATCCAGAGCTAGGTTGATGTCATCTGCATAGACTTTTCCAAAGCATTTGATCGCTTGAGTCATTCAGTGCTAATCAAAACTTTGGGCCTTCTTGGAGTCAGTGATCTTCTTCTCTCCTGGATTCGCGCCGTCCTTACAAATAGAATTCAGTATGTTAATTTCCACTACACGTCATCCGAAGCATTTTAATAATTTATTTTTCCTTTCTCAGGAGTTCCTCAAAGTGCTATACTTTCTCCTTTTCTGTTTGCACTCTTTGGAAACTCGGCCTCTTTCATACTTAAGGACTCCAATTTGCTAATTTTTGCCAATGACATGCAACTATATTGTAGCATCTCTTCACTCTCTGACTGTCATTTCTTGTAGTCTGATTTGAACCAGTTGGTTGCTTGAAGTGAATCTCTAGGTTGCATGTCAACATCTCCCAAAAGCTCAGTTATGACCTTTTTTCGCCTTCTGACTCCTTAAAAATTTACCTGTCTCATACACAACCAAACAATTGCATCTTCTGGCCTGTTTGTACGTAATCTCGGTTTTACCTTAACTCTAAATCTTTGCCCCTTTCAACACATTGAAACTTCTTGCTGTAAAGCCTTCAAGTTCCTGGGGTTCATCAGCCGTTTCTTTTAACAATTCCGTTTCCTTTTTTTCTTAAAATCTCTCTTTTGCTCCCTTGTACGTTTTATCCTGAAATATGGATCCATATATTGGGACCCTTCGATCTCTTTCGGTAGTAGGATAACTGAGCGTGTCCAACGTTAGTCACCTCCCGTTTTAATATTCCCCTACATTCTCAGTATTATTCTCCCACTCCTAGAATTACGACTATTTTACCTATTTGACCGCAGACCTTTTCCTCTCTAATCTTATATCAGGTAAAATTGATTAAACTTCTTTATTATCACAGCTTTCTTTTCAAGTTCCTCTCTATCATACCTGCTTTTCTCTACCTTCCTTTATCCTCCTGTCGTCTACAAATTACTCTTTTAATTCTCCTATTCCCCACCTCATGCGTACCGCCAACGCTGACTCTTCTTTCTTGTAAATTTAATAATTGCATTTCTTATTCACTTGTTTTTTGGGGTTGCCCGTTTAAATATAATAATTTAATAAATAAAAATCATTAGAAAAAATATAAACAAGCGTTAAAATAAAATATAAAGTTCTTACCCTTAAGTGACCTACCTAAGGCGCGAACTATGTTTTTTTATAATTTCTTCAAATTTGGTACTGCATTTTAATAATGTTAAATAGTAATATTTAAATACGAAATGATGAGACACCTGCAGAGTTAACTTTAAGACAGCTAAGCGTAAGATACACATTTTTTTTTTTGTATCTGTTAGTATTTGAAATTTCACCCTTTATGAAAAAAAGAAAAGTAAAATTACATGTAAAAAAAGAAATTAATTATATTTTTGTTAAAGCTTGTATAAATTTAAGAAAATATATAGAAAATTAAAATAAACTTGAAAAATTATATAAAAAAAATACTTGTCAGACTTATTTTATACTGTAGTTATCTTAACTGTTTTTGATTTGCCACTAGGTTGCAAACCGAATATTATATTATTGTTTAATAATTTAACGCTATAATTATATTGCACTCAAAAAGACCATTTGGACTTAAAAGTGCCACATGTTCTTATATTATGTGGTATTATCTGTAAAAAAAGTGTTTCCAGAGATTAAATAAAATACATAATCGCATATAAAAACGAATACGACTTCCCTTATTGCTAAAATTTACTGAGCATTTACGATTTTATCCATTTTTGATTACTATATAATTTTGCAGAGAACTTTGAAATCAACTAATAATAATAATACTACGGTAAAATTGAGTTGGATATTGTTTCACTTCATAATATTATTATGAACAACAAGAAATAAAAACTGGTAATTTTAAGAAATACTGAATTACGGTTTTTAATTTTTTATACAATAAAAAAAAGATCTTTTAAAGTTTTATTCATGGTCTTATTTGACTTATATATCTTTGTAGGTAAAATACCAATGTTTTACATTTATTTAAATATTTTCTTATTTATGAATTATATATTTTTTAATTTACAACGGTAATAAACGCTGAGCGTCGTTTTGCAATTACCACCAAAACGACGTTTTGTTGAGATGTAAAATTATCGTATAAAGAAAAAATTATTAAATTGTTTGTAATAACATTGAATTATTTTTTTATACATCCATTTTTTTAAATTTTATTTACCAAACTAATCGATTCGTTAATTAAAATATCAATTTTAGAATCACAATATTTTTAGAAATATTAAAATACAGAATCAATGGCACGATCACATTGTAAAAAGTAATTATTAATTATGTTATACTAAATATAATGCTGAAAATCTTATAATAAAAAACTATAATTGTACTTGTTAAATACAATGAACAACAGGATTCATATCAGGATTAATATCTTTTACAAAATGTTATTTGGAACATTTTGAAAAGTGATAAAATAAAGTTATTTTTGTCAGTGATTAACGGATGAAAATAAAAAATAAATTTTTCTCTACATATGTATTTCTCTCACATAATATTTAATAGAAAAAAAATATTTTTATTCACAAAATTATTAGCATAAGGAGTTAGGGCATTGTAGGGCTCCCCGTATATAAACACTTTTCCTTGTGATTATATATTTATGACGGTTTCATTTTGAATTGTACCAATCTTCATGAAAAAAAAAAATTTCTAAAATGGATTATACGTAAGATGATAATACTTTTAAATAAATAAATACATTTTCTTTTGATATTTAATTTAAACATTTTGGAACTTAGACTTTGGTAACTTTCGTATCGTAGATTGTTTAATTAAATAAAATACAGTTTTCATTGAAGACCATTCGACTTTTTTGATAAAAATATACAAATTCAAATTGACTACTTATCTTAGCAGGCATTTGCATTCTATTTTATATATTACTTTACGGTACCAGTCAAACGTACAAGGGTTAAACATGTTATATAATTTTTTCCTTAATTAAGTTCACATCTTTCATAATTAAATCATTATCATGATCACTGAAATCATATCTGTTTTTGATTTGCCTATAAACTATAATAAGATGGTATTGAAATACTTCGATGCTGTTACGAGATGGAATGTTCTGAGAAGACTTGAAATAATTTAAGTCAAAAATAGAGTCAAAGTTATTTTATTAATACTTAAAAATATTTCAATCAAAAATAATAATTTTGTAAAACAATGCTTCGCAAAGGTTCTTACATTTTTAAATTCATGACTCGTCAAATTTAGTAGCATCGGTGACTCCCTTATGTACAAGTATCCCTTATATACAAGTATTCCAGCATATTTGTTTACAAGCGAACAGCTAAAAAAGTGCTTACCGTGTGCTCTTAGCAAAATCGTGTTAAGGATAAGGATAACATTCGATAAAATTCCATACGTGGCATCTCTGTTAATTAGGTGATTTTTTTAGCTTACGTTGCTACTTTGTAATGAATAGTTGTACCACGATTTAAGATTTTAATATTATATTATGACAGCTATTCTACGTGTTAGTGCAACTTTGTGTTGGTTATCTGCATGAGTCTCATGCATAAAAACATATGTTCAGTATATACTTGAAACCCAGATCCCGGAACATGAAAAAATGTACATGGTAACCAGTTTACCGGCGGATCAATATAATAGATGTGTATCGTATGTATCTAGGTTTGTTTTGAAAGTATAAGCTACCATATATATTTTAGATTTTAATATTGTTATAGGAGTGAGGACATGGTGTGGACCAGGCGGTCAATGATACTCGGAGACCGACCGGTAGGAGCATGTGGCCGGTAATGTTCCGTTTGACCCAGGCTATGACCGGTCATGGATGTTTCGGCCACTAACTTCATTGGATCGGGCGGCTGCCTAGTCTTACACTGTGTTTGAGTGCCTGAAGTGGGCAGAGGATAGGGATAGGATTCGGGTGTTTCTAGGTGGTCGAGATCCTAGGCCATAGGATACCATGGATCTCTTGTATAGCCTCGAAATTTTACGTAATAACTTCCCCACTGCCCGACGCCGACAGATTATTGCTGTCGCAATCCGGGCTCGGGACCTTCCTCGCTATGGTCGAGTCAATAATGGCGAGGAAGGAAGAAGGTGAGAGGACGAAGCAAGCCGCAGATTGTGTGATAACACTACCTACCTGTCTGTCTTCCTAATAGGGTTTACTTCGCCCTCGGAAAGGTGGTTCCGTTAAAGAGGGTAGGCTGAGCCGGGGTAAGCAATATTAACGTGGTTCCCTCCAGTTCGGCGGTGACTATACGGAAGAGAGAAAATAATCTCTATTTTAATGAAACCGCTAATGCCGTGGAGTTTTCGTTTCTTCATAAAGGTTTTCCTGGTGTTTTTTAATTCTTAAGGAAATTGAAAACTGACCTTCATACGCACTAACAAGACAACATTTTCTTTTAGATAAAATGCTTTTTATGATATTTGAATCAAGATTTTTGGTGGAAAAAATAAAAAAAATGTTCATAATAATATGTTTTATTTGGTGGTAAATAAAATTCAAGTATAATATTAGGTATTTTTTTTTTTTAAGCATTTCAAGTTTTAATTTTGACGAAATTCTTAAAAATTATGGAATTTTAAAACATGTTTACTTAAACATCGATTAGAATCATATTTCATCAAAAATGATTTACCTTTATGTTGAGATATAAATTAATAATATTATGTATCCTATCTTTCTATTATTACCTATTTAAAACAGTGATATACTCATCAGTATCAGTTCTTTTTTTACTTTAGAAAAATATGTATTTTAATTATGTATGTTAAATTGAAAATTGTTTGTGGTTTTTTTCACTCAGTATTATAAGCTTTATAAATTAATAATATTAGATATTTTAAACATTTGTATATACGAGTATAAATTGTACCTATGATTTAGACTAAAAATCAAAAAATCAGTAAAATTTAAACAAAATACACTTTACATTATTTAGTTCTATATATAAAGCAAGAAATATAAGAAGTCTTCAAATATTTCGAAGTATAGACCTCTAGGCCAGTGGTTTTTAATCTAAGGGTCGCAAGTTATAGTTAGGGCGTTACCAAAAACTATACATATCATGTAAACAGTATATCGTAGTATTCAAGTTCTATTAAACAATTTTTGAAGAGGTCGTTTACATGAAAAATAAATTAGAAAGTTGCGATCCGTAAAAGGTTGAAAAACACTGCTAATGACTTAATTTATTGCTAACAGAGAATTTATTTAATATCGTTCAAGTCCTTAAACTCTTTTTTTCTTTATAAACGTATATATGTACAATATACTACATAATTATTCTACACCCACCTCAAACAATACCATCGTCCTAAGTGATTCTTCTAGTGCGTTGAAAACATTAAATACTTGCACACAAGTAATGAATGAATTAATGATATATATCTACCACTTTATTATGATGACAAGCGAACACTTCACTTGCTTACGAATTTATATGCCTATAATTCTCTTTGTACAATAATTTGAACAACTCTTTTCCATATTATTATTATTTCTTATTTTTAGTATTTTATTATTTAGCTTGTATTATTCAATGTTTTTTTTTTTTTTTTTAAATGTGAAATCATAGTTTTGCCTATATAGTATAATATAAATAGATGTATGTATTTTATCATCTACGGGTAATTATACAACTAACAAATATGAAATTATTTTGCAATATCCCGGAAAATTGATAAAAATGGTCCAGTGGTTTTAAATATGAATAAGAAGTTATATTAAAAGATATTAACAAATAGTAAGGATGTGAAAAAGAAATGAGAGGAATATTTTGAGAAATTACTGAATGAGGTGTATCTATTGATGATAGAAATTATAGAGTATTTTGTAGAACGATAATCTGGGTGATTTAGTTTGAGTGGAAACACGTAGTGAACTGTGAGAGCGGTAACAAAAAAAGCGATAGGTTCACATGGAAAATGTCATATTATGTTAGAGGGGACTGGTTAAAAGATTTTGTTTAATAAAGTGGTAGTGGAAGACCAATTTTCAGACAAGTAAAGAATAAGCAAGGAACATAAAAAATTAAATAATATAAAAATATCACATAATTGGTAAAAAATGTTCGGACTTTTACTAACGTTGGTTGTTTGTACAAAGATTTACCAAATCTCATTTATAAAAGTCCGGTCTACAAAAACCATTCAGAGTTCGACCAAACTATTTTGTGTATCCTAAGTTTACCGGTATTTATACTTTTACAGTAACGCACACACACATATATATACATTTATATAAGTGTATGGAAATTATAGAGGTATAAAATATATTAGTTAAAGTAGTGAGATATCTAAAAACTAGTTTGGTTCAATGCTAGAGAAATAAATAATGGAGCTATGTGAGATAGATTGCATACAAGTATAGAAAGAGAAGACAAAAATATATATATTTTTTATAAATTTAGGGAAGCCATACGAAGGAGTACCGAGAAAGGTTCTTATGTGGCGTTAATGAGAAAAAGAATTCCGAATCAAATATTAGTTTGATAGTGGATATATTCGAAGGTTCAAATGTTAATGTTAAAAACATTAGTCTTTACCTGTTTTCTGTTGAAATAGATAAAGTTATGAAAAAAATACACACTAAGACCATGGTGTCTCATGCACATGATGTTTGCAGGTGATACAGTTTTACTAAGAGTTCATTATCAATAACACGAATTAACGTGATATTAGAAAACCCAGTCGGTTTAAAAATATCATGCATTAAAAACGACTATAAAAATGTTACCATATGGTCGTACTAGATCTCAACGGGTTTAAAAATAGCATAGGATTCAATAGTGGACAAAATAAGAGAAAATAAAATGGTTTGGACGTATTATAAGGCGAGAAAAATCGGAAGCAGTAAGAATTTATATCAAAAATAAACTGAAAAGAGAAGTTAAATGCGATTGAGAATATGTTATAAGGAAGATTGGTGTATGTAAGAATGACGTAGGAGATCAGATAAAATGGAAGTTTAGAATGCAGGTAGCTGACTCCAAATAGTTGAATGTAGGTGAAGGAGAAGAGAACATATTTTTTTCCATCGAGTGAAGTGGGTAGATTAGCTAGTCAGAGTGAAATGCACAGAAGAAAGTTTGGGTGAACTGTGGTGTAGGTGCTAGTACTGGCGTACTACACATAATAATAGTTATCACATGATAGGTTCAAAAAGTGTGGGACTTTGGGGTATAACCTTACCAAAATTCAGTCAAACTTCCTAAATCAAGTAAATACTAAGTATACTTGTCAATATCAGTAAAACAGACATGGAATGAATATCTGAATATATATATATTATATATTTATTTAAATATGTAAACACCCGGAGGGTAATGATCAGAGAACAATAATTAATATACAGTTAAATTACAATGATAAGTAGAGGTACAGGGTAAGCATGGTTGAGACGGCGCAACATCCTATGGTGAGGTTGATTGTAGCCATAAGACGTTTGATGAGCTGGAATGGAGAAGATGGAGTGATTTCGAATGTAATGTGAGGGGACGCGGAAAGAGATATTTACTAGTAAGTCAGGTGCATATATTGTTGACAAAGCATTACTATCAACTGAACTTCGCTCAGAATCGTTTTTTTGTAAGCAATGGTTGTTTACAGATATACGTTAAATTACCTATATCCGTAGCTGCATGTATTCCCATTATCTTAGGACGTCTTTTTATTAATATTTCTATAATTATGTAAATAATTACACATAACTTGACCTGTTTTTCGATTGATATTTTGTACCACATTGTGATTAATAATTATTTATTTATTTATTTTGTTATATATGAGTAAGTATTTAAAGGCAGTAGTAATTCAATATTGCATTTGATATTTGACGAAATATATCTAAAATTAATAATTGTTCTTTGTATTCAGTTGTGGATGGCGGTGACAAATTCTTAAGATACCAACAAACGAACCCGATGGCCTCATCGATGGGCGATGACCTATCGCTCAGGGACCTTACGCATCCGACACTGAATGACTGCTTGAAATCGCACAATGCCGCTACATTCAAGCTCGTCAAAACGGGTAAGTACTTACCTGTCAAAAGACATAATTATTTTTAATTTTTACGATTCATACATCATATACCTTAATGCATTGGTTTATACGTATATTTAGATCACATTATCGTGGCACATGTTTTATAGGGAAAATGTAATAAAAAAAGAAGTTATTACGCTGATAAATGAATAAGTAATTGTTGTGTATATTTTTATGTGTAATAATATCATGTTTATAGAGTTCGGGTAGTACTACAGATACCTAATACACCGAGCCACTATCGTAAAAAAATAATATTACTTAAATTTTTAAGTTGAAAACTGGAATATTCCCATGAAATTAATGCGAATACCTGTATAACGTTGTAGCTATATTATCTATAATATTATATAATCCATAATCTATATATAAACTATATTATATACATATATATTAGCTAATGATTATTTTACAAAAACATAATATTTAATAGATACGGACATTTTATTAATATTTTTATTAAAATAATGGAATTTATTTATTTTGATCTCGTTTAAGTTTTTAACTCTACATAATATCAAAATAACTATGACAGAAAAAACAAATTCAACTAATATAAATATAATAGTTTTATTACATTTGTATTAATTGATAATTTAGTGAGACTGTAACCTAATGTTTATAATTTATTATTATACTGATGTCTTATTATACTTAATGATTAAAATAATTTTCAAAAATCTGTACTCCCTTATCTTTGCTATACATCAGTTATTGAGCAAAATATTATAATATTGTTATTCATACTATATTACCTTTGGTAAGTATAGTTCATACAATAATTGATAAAATATAATTTTTCAATCATTTCCAGATTTTATTTAAATATTCATTGTTATTTTCATGTAAAGCGTATTGAATTAGATAGAATTTCTATTATTTTATAGTGAGTGTGGTTAAAGTTAAAATTGTGTATAATACTTAAAATTGAATATTGTTTTCATAATTAAACTTTTAATTTATTGAGATGTTAATTGTTAATATTATAGAACTACACATGTACATTTTGGTTTCATTTTTAATTACGTTTACTTATAAATTACATTTTTTTAATTTTCGGATTAAATTTTGGACACATGGTTATTGTAAAAGAGAGTTATTGTACATAATTAGGGAAATGATTTATTATTTTAGAAATTATTTTGTCCTCTAGGTTGTTATAATTCCGGAGCCTCTTATATTTTATTTATCATATGATAAATCTTGATTTGTGTAAAATAGATAATGAATAGATTTAAGACCTAAATTAACTAGAATTTAAAAATAATATGCATAATTTATACGATTTTTTTTTTTATTAATAATACCTGTACCTAGTATTTTATTTATATAATTATTTTCATTTCCATGTCACACATTGAAAAAAGACATTTATTTATGTACGTATATATTATTAGGTATCTAGGTATATTATATACCGAATAAAAAAATGTGTCACCGATACGGGTATCGTGTTAGAAGCAATTACCGGTAGTCAATAATGACCCTAGACTGAGGACAAAGAGACAAATTGGAAAGTCGATATCGTCATGGGTTCGTTGAATGATTAATCATCGGATTGACATTAATGAATTTATCATTATCTGCATGTATGAGTATTTTTTTTTTATACCTATACGTTTTATAACTGCTTGTTTTTATTATTATTTTTTTTTTTTGCACACAAATTAAAATGTTATCGTAATGGATTTTCCTGCCTAATACCTATAAATATATACTCTGAAGTGCAACACGTGCGTAAAATATTTTCATAATAATATTAAGTTTATAAATAAATCAATATTTATTATCAATAGAAATATAAAATACAATCTGTAATCTAGTAGAATTTTGTCATCGTAATAGATTCAAATAGTTTGATCACAAAAAAATGATAATCATTGTGGATGTTATAAAATAAATAGTAATCACGCTCAATCTCGGTTGAGTGTGAGATTTCTACAGTTATTCGTATAACTTAATTTTGATACATCATACTTGGTTAATACGTTTTGTGTATGTCTGTTTTTAGAGGAAAAACGTAGAAAAAACGGGAAGATACGTACAATATTGAACAAATATTATTAAAGAAAATATATAATACCTATATAATTATTTCACCATATGACTTATATAATGTTGACATAGCATCACTATCAACTAAACTCCGCTCAGAATCGTTTTTAGTTAGCAATGGTTTATCGTTGATTACTGATACAAATTAATTTTCCCTCTATATTCTACCTTCCGAACTTCTCAACAGTAGTTGCCCTTTACGTGCAAAGTAGGTCCTTTTTTTTTTAAGTTTAACTCTTATTTTACATCTAACTAAACATTGATCTGAGTCTTAGTCAACATCTTTAATATTCTACATACTAGATACAGTTCATGAATTTTGCATTTGTCAATATATGGTAATTTGGATGATTTTCTTCCGCCTGGGCGATCTTCATATCGATTTGTGTATGTTTTTGCGGGGAAAAAATGTAGCCTTATAACTAGACTATTACCAACTGACATATTTCTACGTTTAATTCCGTTGTCGCTTGTTTCTTTATGTAAAATATGATTCCCTGTAATTCGTCAAAATATGTGCCCCTCCAACTAATTTTCTACAGAACTACTAATTTGATTTCATATTTTTTTTTATTTCCGTTACTATGTCAAAAAGAGCTCTAAGTTTATAGGTTTTTAAACATTTTTACACAACGATAGGTTAGAAAGAATACTAGATAAAAACGTGTCACACGAAAACGTAAATATTTGTTTTAATATCCATAAAATAACATTATAATATAATTGTCCAACAGAATGACGCCCAATATTACAGAAATTACATTTCCTCTGAATCTATGTGTATCACAAGTAAATCACAAAAAAAAAAATCACAATACACCACGGTTATATAATAATTAATAATACATACCACCTACCGATGCGTGTCACCTACGCGTACCTGTAGCTGTTTTGCCTATTGACAATCGCCTGAAAATCGGTATGGATGTGTTACCGCGGCCCGTTATTAGAGCGACCTTAATTGCGTCCACAAGAGAATTACGGGCAGGGATCTAGGACAAAGGGACAATATTAAAAAAAATAAAAATAATTTAACATTATAACCCACTACCACTGCAGTCAGGTTTTGTATTCGGTCGGTTGAGTTTTCTCTGCTTTTGTCCCGGTCGCGTCGGACGGTCGTTTCATTTATTTAGGTAGATATACAGACATTATACGCAGACAAAACGTTTTTATTGTAATTATTCAAATAATATAATGTACGAGAACGTAAACGTGGGGTAAAACAATCGTATAGGTATTTTTATCATAATATACATTTTTGAGTGTGTATAGTAGCGTACGCCGGACTTTTCAATGAGGGTCTAATATAAATGTATACGTTTAAAAGTAATATTATATTCAATATGATTAAATACCTCTTATATTAAATACACTATTTATAAATCATAATATAATTCAAATTAAAAATTTAAAACAATTTTAAATATAAACAAAAACAGATAAGATTTGTCATTTTTTAAATTCATTAAATGAAAAAAAAAAATATGCCAATCTTGTAGAGTTGAGAAGATAGGATGAAACATAATTTATATCTGTAAGCAACGATAAACCATTTTTGACGAAAAATAATTTTGAGCAAAATTCCAATAGACATGTTTTGAAAGTAAATCTATGATTTTTATCAAAATTTGATATTCAAATTTTTATAAATAAAATAATTTTTTTTGACCAAAAAGTACGACATGAAATTGAATTTCTATTGAATTTTCAAGCATTTATGTTTTACGTTTTTTTCGGTTTTGCTCAATTGTAAAACAACCCTACAGAAAATCAAAAAATCATTTTCTTATACTCATCAACTAAATTAAAAATATAAGAATATTGAACCTATGTCGTTTTTTCATTGGAGCAATATTTCTGGTAGAAAACATAAATTGTACAAATTTAAAGTAATGAAATCGTAAAGTCATACATTTGTCAGTTTTATTTTATAATTTTTCCGGTTTTTCCTAATTATTATGAAAACTGCTTAAAATGTCAATAATTTTTATGACTTAATCACCAATTAGTTTAAAAATCCACCAAAAAATGTTGATTGTCATTTACTATAAGAGCAATATTTCTGATAGAAAACATAAGTTAAAAAATTAAAAATCATAAAATAGTTATGCCACGCGCTGTAAATGTTTATCCGTTTACCTTCACTACGTTTTTTCCCTATGACTATGAAAACTTCTTGAAAAATTAAAAAACAATTTCCTTAAAGAACCAAACAAATAAAATGTCTTTAAAAAAAAAGGTGCTATACTTGATTGCTATTGGAGCAAGATCAAATACTATAAAAAAAATATATGTATTGTTAAAAAAATAAAATTATTATATTATTTTTAAGCTTGTATTAAACTACAACCATATATTCTTCTGCGATACTATATCTATATCTATCTCTCTCTCTATATATATAAATATTTCGTGCATGACAGGCTTTTAAGGTCCTCTATACGCTTCCACTTAGTCTCTTCGTCTATCACGAGCGATACTATATTACGATCGACAAAATGTATAATATTTTCATACTTGCTAACCCAAAAATACATCAAAACTATACGAATCGATTTTTCAATTTTACCAAAATGTATGCTAATATTATGTTTATATTATAGACAGAATAATGTTAGATAATATCATCTATAAGTGTCTCTTGTCATTTTTCGAAACACTTTAATACTCTAGGTGCTTAAGGAGTTTTTATAATTCTTATTTATATTTAACAATTCAAAAATTTGAACATATGCCCTTTTTGCATTAAACGACTCATGATGTATACTCATGTATACGAGTACTACGCAACAAAATCTTAGAATTTAAAACAAATAGAAATTTATGCTTTAAATTAACCCATTGTTGGATTTGACCCTACTGACGTATTTTTCACCCCACACCGCTGCACCGCTGGCCTGCGCGCCTGTTAAATTAAACTTTTGAAACAATCGCACCGTATCTGTCTGTGGTCTCTCTGGTCTCGTGTTTTATTTATAGTTTTATATTTATCACCGTAAATCGTCGCCTCCAAAGGCACGTGGATTAAAAACCGGTATTAAGTCTTTAA